ATTTAGAAAATAGCAGCATAGGATCACTAAAACATTAAGCTTTAAGCATATATTAAATTCAGGGGCAAAGTCACAGCCCTAAACATGTTAATAACAAGGAAAAAATAAGAACAAATAGGAGCCTATGTGATGGCTCATCCTCCACCTGCAAGCACAAGCATCCCAGATGGGCATCGGTTTATGTTTTAGCTGCTTCATTTCCCATCCAGTTCCCAGCTTGTGGGCCTTGGGACCCTGCACCTGTGTGGGAGACACGGAAGAAACTCTTGGCTTCTGGCTTCAGATTGGCTCAGTTCTGGCCATTGTGGTCATTTAGGTAGTGAACCAGTGGACAGAAAATGTTTCCCTCTGTCTCTCCTTCTCTCTGTAAATCTTCCTTTCCAATAAAAATAAATAAATCTTTTCCTAAAAAATGAGAACAAATAAGCTAAACTGTCAAAGCAAAAAGCAAGCAACCAACCACAGACAAAGGGGAGAAAAATGGTATCACAAAAAGAAAAGCAGAAATGAATAAGCTAGAAGGCTGATAAACACATCTAAGGGCCCATTTCTCGACTTTCATAAACCCAGGCACTTGAGGAAGGAGATGGGTGGGAGAAGGGCACTGGATTCACAACACAGGGAATGAGGGATGATTGGGTTTAAGCCCATTGGGGCAGGTGGACTAGCGGTCCAGCCATCAGTTGGGACGACTGCAACCAAATGAGAGTGCCTGGGCCACCAGATAGTTCTGTTTCCAACTCTAGTTTCATTCTAATATGCCCCTGGCATTCCCAACCTCCAGCTTTGGCCTGACCCAGGCTCAATTGTTCTAGGCATTATGGGGTAAACCAGCAGAAGAGAGCACAGGAGAGAGAGAGAAGAGAGAGAGAGACCATAAGGAAAAGGAAGATAACTGCTGGAGGATAAACAGCTGCAGTGAATATAATCCACAGGGCTACTTTTTCAAATACCTAAAGAGCCCCTTTGCTCAGTTGGAAAGTTGTAGCCCACAGAAAAAGGCACAAAGGGCCTGACAGGTGAGTCACAGAAGAGAAAGTAAAAGCAGCCCACAGTAGATGGAAAGCAGCACCATCACTTGCGTGCAGGGAAAACAGTTTCCAGGCCTCCTAAGAAGTTACACCCTCACTCCTGAAGGCCGCATCACCATTAGGAAGGCGTGGGGAACCTCGGCTGCACTGCTCACACTCAGAAACGCATGCAGAATTCCACCATCTGGAATGTGCCCTTGAGTAGCCATCATACTTGTGCAGCAAGAATTGGACAAGGCTCTCCACAGAGCTTTTCTTCTAATAGCAAATAACCAGAATCCACCTGAACCCCACGCAGCGAGAAAGCAGCGTTCAGCAGAACAAGCAAGCTGGTGAGCCATGAGCAAAGCCCGCCCTCACGCAGGCAAACTGCTAAGCGTAGCAGCTAATTGTGCTAAATAAGTTTCCTGTTCTATGTTTAATTTCAATTTATAAGATATATATGCATGTAAATATCTAATTAAAAAAAAAGCCAGGAGGCTCACACCACATTTCTATCAGAGGTCCCTTCTGAGCATAGATCTGGGTGCATCAGAAGGACCCACACTTCCGCTGATGCTGAATCCAGAGCGGACAGAACCTGCATCCAATACTTGCTCAGCTTCTAAAATATTCTTTATAAAAAAAATTCGTGATGGTATTTTTGAATCCCCAAGAATACATTCATATATTACTTGTATCATTTTATAAAATACACAGAGAGAAACGTCTTTTAATCCTAGGAATATTACTGAACTCCAAAAATAAAGAGGAAAAAAAGCCCCATATGATTCTAGGGGAAGAGAGGATGTTTACCTAGGAAGGAAGAGAGGAGGAGGCCACGCATTGTTCACAGACGAAGAGGGGCGGGCAGAGCATCTCCAGAAATATGCAAGGATTCACAAAACGTGTTGCCCACAGATGGGCAGCCTGGATATTAGTCAAAGAAATTCTACACACACACACACACACACACATGCACACACACACGCACACACACAGCTTAAGTAACCATGATGCTTAATATGGGTATCAAGAAAAGTTATATAAATCTGACAAGATTCCAGATGATGATGATGATGATATTTCCCACACCAGGCAAACAGACAGAGGTAAATGGTGCTGTCAGTACAACAAAATATTCCATGCATCTTCCTATGTGGGCAGGGTGGGCAAATGCACATGTGTGACAATTCTTTAATAAAATGTATATTTTTATTTATTTGAAAGGCAGAGTTAGACACACACACACAGAGTAAGAGAAAAAAACAGAGTAGATGAAAGACAAAGAGAATATCTTCCTTCCATTGGCTCACTCTCCAAATGGCTGCAATGGCCAGGGCTGGCATAGACTGAAATCAGGAACCAGCAACTCAAACCCTGGCCTCACAAGTTCATGGCAGAAATCCAAGCACCACGGCCATCTTCTGGTGCTTTCCCAGCCAGTGTTAGCAAGGAGCAGGTCAGAAGTGAAGCAACTAAAGCTGGAACTAATACCTATATGGGATGCTGTATTACAGGCAGTAACTTAACCCATAGCATTACAGCACAGGGACCTGTGATCTGATCACTGGTATGTAATGTTACATTTGTTACTGTGAATTATTACAGATGAATGGTAACTATGAGAATTTAGACACCCCCATCTAAATTCACACAACATAAGAAACAAAAAGAATTGATGAAAAGTGCCTCTATTGCAATCCCACCTGATGGTGGGGCTGTGGTCAGACTAGTCAGAGGCACAGTAAATACAAGTGAGTTTCATTTAAATTAAAGACAAGGAGCCAGTGCCATGGCTCAAATGGCTAATGTTCCACCTTCAAGCACCGACATCCCATCTGGGTGACACTTTGTGTCCTAGCTGCTTCACTTCCTATTCAGCTCCCTGCTTATGACCTAGGAAAGCAATGGAGGATGGACCAAGTCCTTGGGACCCTGCACCAACAAGGGAAACCTGAAAGAAACTCCTGGCTTCGGATTGGCTCAGCTCCAGCCATTGCAGCCATTTTGGGAGTGAACTAGCGAATGGAAAATTTTTCTGTTTCTCCTCTCTGTAAATTTACCTTTCTGACAAAAGTAAATAAATTCTTAAAATAAATAAATGAAATTAAAGACAGCATCTCTTAGATGGTGCTAAAAAGTAAAATAAAGCTACTACATTTTGTCTAGAATTGACATATAAGCTAGAATAACAAAAATGTACCAACTGACAGAAAAACAGATAGGCAATGATGTACAAGGCAAACATTACGCAAAACAGGAACAGAAATACTAACATGATCAGCAGAATTCAAGGCAAAACTAATCAATAAAAGGAAGATGTGTGTGTGAGAGAGAGAGAATAACATCAAGACAATAAAACTGTTGTGAGCACCCCCAACACCATTGCTCTGAGATACATACAACTAGAAATGCAGAAAAAGCACACACACAGCTGCAGTGGGTGAGTTATAATTCTTTGCTCAGCATAGTTTAGAACAACCTTGTGGCTTCAGAGAAACTTCCTAAAGATGGGGGTGTGCATACCTGTGTGTGTGTGTGTGTGTGTGTGTGTGTGTGTGTGTGTGTGTGTGTGTGAAGGAATTACGTCTAACGTTAGAAGGAGGCATTAGTTCTAGAACCCGCCAGCACATGAAGATAACCAAGGTCACAGCACCTTGTTATATCCTATAAAGAATGAGACCAAGGGAGCTAGAAGCTTCCCAACGTGAAGGTATGACAAACATCCCAGGAGCTAAAAAATGCCAATTCTCTCGATAGAATCATTTATACAAATCAAGTTATCACATCATACCCCAGAAAGTTGTACATTACATTTTGGCTGAAAAAACACATAATCTTGGAGGAAAGAAATGACTTTTAAAATAAGGATCAAATGTATAAAATAACGAAATGCTTCAAGCACAGAGAACAACAGTAAGTGTATGCTCACATGCTGTCAAACATTGCCAGTCTAACAAACGTTGGTGAACATTTTGTGGAAATGAAACACAAGAAAACAGACGAGATGCGCCTTTCTCTCCCTACTCCACTGCTTCCTGTGCCTCCCCAGTGACCAACAGATTCAGGCTCCTGCGGCTTATCACACCCATGCATATTCTCCTGGATGTATAAAACACATACCAGTAAACTAGACTATTATGGCTCTGCACATTTTTAAATAGGAACCAATGACTTCAGAGAGTATCAGTCCTCTGGGGTTATCTTTTCACCCAAAATTATTTTGAAACAGGTTCTAAACTGCAGAATACTGAATGTAGGAGGGAACTTCCCATGGCCTGCAGGCCGGCACGCCATTGGCCAGGAGAGTGCTGGGCACTTGGTCTGGCAGTTGAAATGTCAGTCCAGACCTCCCTATGTCCTGCAGGGCAGTGTCCAGGGTTGATGTGTGTCTCCAGTTGTGACTCCAGCTGTCTGTCAGCACAGCCCCTGGGGACACAGCTATGATGACGCAAGGAGTCAGGTCTTGGCCACACCCAGGGGAGGCATGGATGGAGTATATGGCTCCCGATTTCCTGCCTGACCCAATATCAGCTATTGTGGACCTTGGAGGAGTGAATCGGCAGATGAGAATGGTCTCTTTTTGGTTTTGTGTCTGTCTCATTGCCTCCAAAAAGAAATCTATATCGTCTCTTTTTTAAAAAAAAGTTTGTTTGTTTGTTTTCATTTGAAAGGCAGAGGAACACAGAAAGAGAAAGAGATCTGCCATCTGCCATCTCCACTACTTTCCCAAGCATATTAGAGCAGAGCTGGACCAGAAGCAGAGCAGACATCACATAAAGCAATGTCCATATGGGATACTGACAATACAGACAGTGACTCAACCCGAACACAAATCTCTAGAAATCTATATCATTTCATCCAACAGCTCCTCTCTAGGAATTTATCCTAAATCAATCACAGTCAAGTATCAACGAATGATGATATAAAATTATATATTCCATTTTGGTTTTCAGGAAATGGAAGTTCTTTGAAGGTAGCACTTACAATTGGTGTCCCAAAAGGAATGTAACCTGTGAACAGAGAGATAAGAAAGTCAGCTCTGACAAGACATCCCAGTGCCTTCCGGGCTTGGTCTCCACAGTGGCCCTGGTGAAGGGGTGCAGTCCCTCAGGTCACTCAGCCCTGTGTGTCCCCAGCCTTCTTGTCCCCCTTTCATTAGGCAGAACCCACTACCCCCTACGACCCATAGCTCCATTCCTCCTGGCAAGGATGCCAACGCCAAGGGCGCCCCCAGCGGCCCCTGGTGATTTCTTCCATGGATTCACCATGCTGCTGCCCACACTCATGATGCAAGATGGGACCTTTCCCAAGGACCCTGCAACATCCCCTTGTTCTCGGCTTATCTTTCTGGCACGGGTTTTCGCCTCCACTGCTTTCTGGCTATTTCTGAAAGTGAAATCCCTCCCTGCCTGCAGGGCACATGTGCACATGTGGCTGAGCCTTCTCAGTCTCCAGCACCCAGGTGAGACATCTCAGTAGAGTGGTACAAACCTGCTCTCTGTGAACACAGTCTCTGGGAGGCAGCTGATGACGGCCCTAGTACTTGAGTTCCTGCTACCCATGTGGGAGATACAGAGTTCCTGGCTCCCAGCTTCAGCCTGGCCCAAACTTGGGTGCCGTAGGCCATTGGAGAGTTAATCATCAAGTGGAAGATAATTCTCTCTCTCTCTCTCTTTCTGTAACTCTTTGAAATCAGTGTAAAATATTTAAAGAAAAAGGAAAAGGTGGGAACGTTTCATGGGGGTCTGGAGACCTCGCCAAAGTCTTATAGAGCTGAGCCAAGGTGAACACGCAGGGGTGTGTGTGTGACAGGCTCCTCCCCCTCCTCCAAGTGCACATTGGGATGCCCCTGGAGCCACGAGCATGGTAAGCATCCCAGGCAGGGCAGAACTCAGGGCTTACCTGACATTCTAAAGGGCATGAAGATCTTCTCATTGGTGTCCGGGTGCAGAATAGCCTGCCAGGAGCCCAGGGTCCAGACGAGGGAGCAGGAGGGGGATAAGCAGAGGCATTAGGGAGGTGGGGTGGGGAAGGACAGCCTCCTGAGGGAACAGGCTGGGTACTGCCTTCTGGCCAGTGAATCCTCTTGCAAGGCAACAGAAGTCCAGAACAAGGCCATAAACATCTGCTCCTCTTCCTGAGCAACCCTCATAGCCGAATGCAGGCGAGACCAGATGCCTGTGTCTAGGATGCAGCGCCCCTCTCCCAGGTCCTGGCACACATTAGGCTCTCAGAAATGCAGCCCTGGTCCTTCCAGAGCTCTGCACCCAGGGAAAGGCAGCCTGCATGGAGCACCAGGCTCCCCCATCCTCACACCTATTGGTGCTCGGGCAGGGAGAAGAGGAGAGGCGGCCAGGGGCAAACAGAAGGGAAGAGGCTGGGCACACAATAGCCATGGGAAGGAGGGCTTCAGCTGGATCTCAGGGCCAGAGCAGGGCAGGGTCAAAGAGAGCTCAGAGCAGGGAAGAAAGTGAATGCCTAACTTTATTTTACCTGCTTGATTTTCTGTGCACTCCAGAGCTGGAAGGAAGAGAAAGGGAAAGAAACAAAGAATAGTTAAATGCACAAACAGGGTGCAGATCTCACAGGCTTATTTCCCAGCCAAGGGACCCCACTTCACAAGAAGCTCAGCCGTCCTGATCACCCCAGCTGGGCCACCATCCCAGGGGTGGCATCAGAGACCTCAGACTTTCATGGGCAGAGGATCTCACAAAAACAACTTAAACCAGGATCCATGACTCTGACTGCACTCTAGGATTCCTTAGACAATTCTGCATTTTGCAAAAGCTCTACCTGATTCTAAGCCCTAGTCAAGAACCCCTGAGTAGAACGATGATACTTCAACTTCCCAGAATCACCAGTGGCAATCTAGAATGACCTTTCGGATTCTACTGCTGCCTATTAGCCTTCCCATCCATGAAATGGGGGTGACAGTCATGGAATCAGTGAAGAGGTACTGGAAAAGTTCTTGGAGAAGGAACAAGCACATAGTAGATACTTTACACATGCCTGCTACTATTGATGTCATCATGCCTATTATTGGGAGAAGGTGATCGGGGAAAAAAAAGTTACTTCCCAATATGACACAGGGGACAGGGTCGGAGAAACCAGACACATGTCCAGCTGTTCTAAGTGACAACAGAACTGTCTTCATTGGCTCAAAGACATCACTGCTGCTGAAATGTGCGGTCGCATGCCATGTGAGAAACACCATGGAGCTGGCATTCAGCCTAACAGGTAAGATGCTTGCCTCCCACACCCGAGTTCTGGGCTCGCCTTCCAACTCCAGATCCTGACTCTAGCTTCCTCCCACTGCAGGTCCTGGGAGATGCAGTGATGGCTCAAGTCACTGGGTGCCTGCCACCCACGCAACACACCTGGACTGAGTGCCCAGCATCTGGCCCTGCTCTGGCTGGTGTGAGCATCTGAGCAGTGAGCCAGTAGGTAGAAGCTCATCTTGTATGTCTCTTCCTCTTTCTTTCACAGAAAGAAAAAAATAAACTAATGCTAAGACCCCCCCACCAACATTTTAGATATAATAAAATGGAATAAAAACCAGCCTTTTTAAACCAAGAAAAATGTGAAATTAAAAAAAAAAATACATCCGGACAAACCAAAGGTCAGTGTATTTTTTTTTTTCATGAAGAACGAAGGACATGTGGTTATAAGTGAGACGTGGCCAGCAGCTGAGGTTTCAAGAGTTGTAACAGAATAGATGTTTCATTTGTATGACAATCAATGTTGGTTATCAGGAATAGAAATTAAACTTCAGGAGCTAGGGAGGCTACTGGGCAGTAAAAATAGAAGTCACAGAATTGATTCATTAAAGTTTATGCATTTTACTCACAGCTGAGTCCTTCAAACCTTGACTCACAGCCTAATTAACTTCTATTTTAGATGCATTTCAAACATACTTGATTGTCTGCTATTCTAGATCCGGGGAGATTAGAAACCTTTTTTTTTTCTTTTTAAATAATAACTGAGCAACAGAGAAGACTGTCAAAAGAAAAACCAAATACAGAATCACCTTGAACACAAAACTAAGTGAGAAAATAACAGCAATGAGATTTAAAAAAAAAAATGAAAAGCTTTCTCTCTCTGTTAGAAAGCATTTCTTGGATTGTGCCACCAACTTCAGATTCTGCCCCAGGTGCAGCCCCAGATCCATAGTAGACGCCTGACTCCTTAAGTCACAGCCCTCCGTGTACAGGTCCCCTCTCCTCTGCAGTCACATTCCAGCCTTCCAGAGTACCATCTTACCCTTCATCACCATCTTCGAGCACCTGTCTCAATAAATGCTTAGTGAAGGAACATCATCTTTCAAAACAGAAGTCCCCCCCACTGCCATCCACCCGAGACACACCTAACTTCTGGTTAGGCATAGTGAACCAAATTCAAGGATTTAGCTCCCTTCCCACCCAAAGCTTTAACAAAAGAACAACAAAAAGAGCAACCAGGGACCAGCATTCCACTCGCAGCATCAGCATCCAATATGAGTGTCGGTTCAAGTCCCGGTAGCTCCACTTCCAATCCAGCTCCCTGGCAATGGCCTGGGAAGGCAGTGGAAGATGGCCCAAGTCCTTGAGCCTCTGCACCTACATGAGAGACACAGAAGAAGCTCCTAGCTCTTGGCCTTGGAGCTCAGCTCCAGCCATTTTGTGCATTTGGGGAGTGAATCAGGGATGAAAAATCTTTCTCTTCTTTCTCTGTAACTCTGCCTTTTAGGTAAAAAATAAATCTTGCCCCACCCCACCCCCCGCCAAGACAAGGCAACAAGCCAGGGCCAAAAATGTGTCACATTAGGTTAAGTCACCACTTACAACACCAGCATCTCACATGAGTACCAATTCCAGTCCTGACTGTTCCACTTCTGATCCAGCTGCCTGCTAATGTGCCTAGGAAAACAGTGCAAGATGGCCCAAGCAACTGTGTGTCTGTCCCCCGCATGGGAGACCTGAATGGAGTTCTAGGCTCCTGGCTTCATTCTGGACTGACTCAACCATTACAGCCACTTGGGGGAGTGAGCCAGCAGATGGACAATCAACATCTATGCATGTCTGTGTGTCTGTTTCTCCCTCTTTCTACAATTTTTGCCTTTCAAGTAAATAACAAAATGTTTACAAGAAAAAAAAAGCAGTTAGAAGCCCCTGGTGAGGAAAGGAACACCCCAACAAGCAGGAGATATGGCTTTTTTTCAGATGGGAGCCCCCAAGAAATGATCCACAGTGCTACAGAGGGTGAGTGCACCCCCACCTGCCTGCAGACTGGGCACCCTGAGGAGCAGACAGCTCAGCTGGAGCCAGGGAGACGCCCCAGGCACCATGCAGCCCTAGTGGACGGGACCAGAGATCAGGGAAAGGTTGAAAACGTTCCTGAGCATGCAGCAGGTGCATCTGAAGCCCCTACCCAGGAGACGCAGGCTTATTCTGCAAGAGAAGCCAGAGTGAGGCAGCCCAGATGTGGGGTCACAGGCACAAGGACACAAGGCCATCGTTTGAGTACTGAATAATATCTCTAGGGAGTCTGTCCTTGTCCAGCTTCAGGCTGTGGCAGACAAGCCACTGGGCAGGGATAGAAGGAGGCTAATACTGTGTGGCTGCTGTCTTATCTTTCTCAGTAACTTCACTGAGAATCTGTGTGTTGTAAATAAAGTGGAAGGGGGATGGAGCACATGCTATGGGCTTACAGTCTCCATCCCCTGACTCCTGCCACAGCACTGGTCACTTGCTCCCAGCAGAGAGCTGGGTCCAGGGAAGCATCAGGCTAGGAAGCGTAGGTGCTACATAACAAGATGTGGGGCAGGGTCTCGGGTCCCTGTGGGGGATCTGCCCTTGCTTGGTGGGTGATCCCTGTGGCTGAAGGAGGCAGATGCTAATTAGCAAACAATTGAATCAGAGAGAGATGCTTTCCTGTGCGTTTGAACCAAAGTCTTATGTTATCACTTTGCCTGGAGCCCCACAAATGACAAAGCTAGCTCTGTCTCTGAAGTGTGAGAAAGGCCGCTGCTGAGACATCACACACACACAGAGGAGGAAGGCAGAATTTGGAGGCAATGAGACCTTCCAGCAACTAAAGACAACTTTATTGCAGATATGAATGAGGAACAAGAGCAATGGAAAGCAGGGCAGACCGTGTGCACCAATCCTGGCTGAGCCACTTACTGGATGCACAACCCTGGGCAAATCACTTGGTGTCTGGGCCTCAGTTTCCTCATCAGGAGAATGGGTTGTTTCCAAACAGCAAGGCAGGAACGGGTGCCTGTCCCCCCCTAGTGGGTTGGTTTCCCCTCTGGGCACATAGCAAAGCCTTATTCTTACCTCCTTGCACTCAGGGGACTCTGGTGGGCTGAAATGACACTTGTCATTCGCTGTAGAGGATCCCTTTTAGAAGACAGCCAAGCCATGAGGCAATGGAGCTTCATCCCTGTCCTTGGCACATGGCCACCCCCCACCCAGGCTGTGCTGAGTTCAGATCTGAGTCAGAAATAGATCTCCCAGTGCTAAGCAGGTCCCTGCCATCTGGGGGTGGCTTGGTTCAGCACTTGGCTTCACCTGACCGAGACAGAGGGCTCAGTGAGGTATGCCTACATAAAATAGTTGACTCACAGACCATGCTCAATATGGTTGCCTAAAGCAAGCAACTCAAATGAGCAGCATTTTTTAAGGATTTAATCATCTTGCAAAGTAGCTTCCTCTCTGTTGTCCTATTCCTCCAGTGTGCTTATGAGATGGGAAGATCCCTTTTCAGACGTCTCACCTCAGAGAGACTAGCCTACCTGACCAGGACCCCTGGGGGCCTGCTGGCAGGATGGAGACAGGCTATAAGACCCATGACCCCCAGGCCAGGTCCTCCGTGCAAAGCAGGAGCCTTGAGGAGCTAATCATGTAGGAGTACATACGAGATGACCATCAGACCTGAAGCACAAGAGTGGCCACCATCATCCTAGAGTCCCCTGGCAGCAGGTGCACTTCTAACCCCTTGTCCTTCCTCGCCTCCAAAACCCAGACGAACCATACTGCACCGGCAGCTCTGGCTGCAGGTGCTCCTCAGACTCCAGGGCTGCTGCCTCCATCCATACCCAGAGCCTCGGTGAGATCCGGCAGGTGCTGGCTCCTCAGCCAAGGGACAGGGACAGCAGGGATGGCAGCGAGAAGGCCCTCAGGAAGGCCAGAAGCCCAGAGTCAGTGAGCCTACCCCTCATCCTTCAAGTGATATCACTCAGATGCCACATGTGGCCCAGAAAGGCTAGTGTCCAAGGCAAATGGCCTCCTGTGACACGTACCTGCTTTCCCTTCCACTGGCTCTGATTCTCACACACAGAAATCTGCTTCCATCAAACAGATGAAGTCAAAGCTTGCAACTGTGCCCAAGGTCTCTGAGATGCAGCTGGACTCAGGATCCTGACACAGATCCATGAGGGTGCACCTGCCACATGTCAGACACTCTTCTTTATTCTCTTGCCTTCTGAGACCTTTGGAATTCCCGACCTTGGGCACAGACGAGCGGGCCTGAGTGTTCCT